CCACCCTGATTGCTGCTCTTCCACGCAGCTCCTCAATAGTATCCATGGCTGCCATCATTAGATCCTCGTTCTGCTCAGTATTATATGTGCTCGACCTCTGGGATGATAGCTCGACCTCGACCGGCAGCAACGCTTCCATTCCATAGGCTAAACTGAAGGGAGTTTCTCCTGTTGTCGACCTCGGGGTTGTGCGATACGCCCAAAGTACTGAGCTCAACTCATCAACCCATGCCTCCGAGGCCTTTTCCAACTTTGTTTTCAGCCCATTCAGTATAATTCGGTTGGTTACTTCGACCTGGCCATTGGCTTGCGAATGAGCAACGGAGGCAAAGTGTCGCTCAATTTTCATGTCTTTACACCACGCTCGAATCCACTTGCCATTGAATTGAGTACCATTGTCAGAAATCAACACTTTGGGCACGCCAAATCTGCAGCAAATGTTGTTGTATAGAAATTTTATTACTTTCTCCTCCGTGATCTTCGCCAAGGGCTCGGCCTCCACCCACTTTGTGAAATAATCCACCGCCACTATCAAGAACTTCCTCTGCCCCGTTCCTTGAGGCATCGACCCCACCAGGTCGATGCCCCACTGGGCGAATGGTATAGGGGCACTCATCGTTGTCATTGCTTCTGCCGGTTGATAAATAAGGGGGCCATGCTTTTGGCATTGTAAGCATTTCTTCACCATCGCCTTCGCATCCTCCCTCATCGTCGGCTAGAAATATCCTGTCCTCAAAATTTTTGCAACCAAGGCCCCTGACTTACTATGGTCACTGCAGCATCCTTCGTGCATTTCTCTCAGCATATATCGACCCTCCTCCTTAGTAATACAACGCAAATGCGGTCCCGTTCATATGACCGCTTGTAAAGAATGCCTCCATGCTAAAAAAATCTCCTCACCGACTTTATCGTTCCCACTTTCAGCTCTTCTAAGATCGGGGCCCTCCAATCCTTTACTTCCTCAATCTCCGCCACTTCTGCTTCGACCACACTCTTTTCGAGATACAATAGGGTAACACTTCTGCTCTTACAATCCACCAAGCTTTGAGCAATTTTCGATAACAGGTCTGCCCGACCATTTTCTCCCCGAGGGATCTGTATCAACTCGAATGAGTCAAATTCTTCTTTCAACCTCTTCATCTCATCTACATACTTCTGCATCCGGTCCTCCTTAACTTCAAACCCCTCCTGAAACTGCCCGACCACCAGTTGAGAATCAGAATGCACTTGTACTTTTCGGGCTCCTCCCGCTCTGGCTAAACTCAAACCTTTGATAACTGCCTCATATTCGGCCTCGTTGTTGGATATCTTGAACCCTACTTTGGCCGCAAATTCCAAGTAATCGCCCTTAGGAGAGACAAGGAAAATTCCCAATCCTGCCCCACTTCGTGCCACGGATCCGTCTACAAACAACTGCCATATTCCTCCTGACTCCTCCTCAACTTTCGTGCCTTCCTGGATAAAATCGGCTAACACCTGTGCCTTTATGGCACTCCTCGGTTTATACAACAGAGAATATTCACTCAACTCGGCCGCCCATTTCACCAATCGACCAAAGACTGATGGTCGGCCGAGTGTTTCTCCCAGCAGCATGTTCGTTCGCACCTTCACCTTATGGTTCAAGAAATAAGGTCTCAACTTTCGAGCAGTTACGACCAGAGCTAAAGCACCCTTCTCGATCTCCGAATACCTTATCTCTGCCCCCTGCATCACCCTACTCACGTAATAGATAGGAAATTGTGCTGCCCCTTCCTCCCGCAATAACACCGAACTTACAGCCCTCTCTCCAATAGAAATGTACAGCACCAACTCCTCGCCCTGTACGGGTTTAGCCAATAAGGGAAGGTTGGCTAACACCCCTCGCAACTCCTCAAATGCCCTCTGCGCCTCCTCCGTCCATTGAAATTTCGCACTCTTCTTCAATGTTTTAAACAACGGGCCACTTTTTTCCGCCACCTTCGATATAAAACGGCTTAGCCCTGCGATTCGACCAGCCAAGATTTGTACCTCCTTAACATTTACCGGCGACTGCATCTCCATCACTGCCCGCACTTTCTCCGGGTTTACCTCGATACCTCTCTTGGTCACCAAGTAACCCAAGAATTTCCCCGACTTTACTCCGAACGAACATTTGGCTAACTTCATCCCGTACCTCCTCAAAGTCATGAACGTTTCCTTCAAGTCTCGCACATGATCCATCTTTTCTTTGCTTTTCACCAACATATCGTCTACATACACCTCCATGTTTCTCCCCAGCTGTTCTTTAAAAATTTTATCGACCAACCTTTGATACGTGGAGCCCGCATTTTTTAGGCCGAACGACATCGCCACATAACAATAGGTTCCCCGACTCGTCACAAAACTCACCCGTTTTCTATCTTCTTTTGCCAAGGGAATTTGGGGGTACCCCTAGGAGGCATCCATCAAGCTCAACAATTCATACCCAGCCGTCGAGTCGACCAACTGTTCGATTCTAGGTAATGGGTACAGATCCTTCGGGCACGCTTTATTCAGATCACAAAAGTCGATGCACATCCTCCACTTTCCCTCCGCCTTTGACACCATCACTGTATTTGATAACCATTCTGGGAACTGAATCTCCTTGATATGTCTTGCTTTCAACAGCTTCTCGACCTCTTGCTCGATAATTTTATCCATCTCCGCACCGTGATGTCTCCTCTTTTGCTTCACCGGCCTCACACTGAGGTCGATGTTCAGCCGGTGTTCGATCACCTCCGCATTTATTCCCGTCAACTCCTCCGTTGTATACGCAAAGATATCCGCGAACTCCCTAACCAGACCGATCAACCTCGACCTGATGGGCTCCTCCAAGTCCTTCCCAATTCTGAACTTCCTCTCCTCACATCCCTCAATCATCTGAACTTCCTCGACCTCCTCTCCTGGCCGGATATCCACCTTCTCTTTTCCTTTCTCCAACCTCTGCCTATCTTCTTTCGATCTCGACCCACCTGGCCGATTGACCTCATCCCCTTTTGGCCTAGCCTGCTTCTTCGCTAGCTGTTTGTTGCTGCTCACCGTAGTTTGGTAGCAGCTTCTCGAGGTAAGTTGGTCTCCAGCAATCTCTCCAACGTTTTCCCCCACAAGATATTTGATCGTTATGTGGTACGTGGATACGACCACCTGGAATGCATTCAAGCTTGTTCTCCCCATTATAATGTTATAAGATGACTCAGCCCCAACGACCACAAACCTCACCATCCAGACTTTCCTCATCACCCCTGATCCCAGCGCCACGGGTAAGCTGATCTCCCCCATCGACATAACCTCTCCTCCGTTAAAGTCGTATAACGCCGTGGCCACTGGTTTCAACTCTATGTTCAGCTTCTTATTAATCTGCACAAAACAATCATAGAACATCACGTCCACCGAACTCCTAGTATCAATGAACACCATCTTCACATCAAAGCCCGCCACTTCCGCAGTAATCACCAAAGCATCGTCGTGTGGCAAGACCACTCCCTGAGCATCTTTCGCCTTAAAACTTATCACCGGCATTCGAGCTGTAATCCCCACCTCCTCTCTCTTTCTTTTTACAGCTCGAGCATGCTCCTTTCTGGCGTGATTCGAGTCGCCATCCGTCGGCCGTCCAGAAATCATATAAATCGTCCCTCTCTTCAACGGGGCTTCTCCTCCTTGACCCCCTTAATCTCCATCCCTCCTCGGCCTCTTTCCTTGACCATCTCACCCCTCTCTATCATCACCCTCCTCATCTCTATCACTTCTCTCCTCAGACTCCTCCCGACACCTTCTCGTCCATTTTCCTTTCGCCCTGTCATGATACACAAACTCCTTCAGGTGCCCTGCCCGAATTAACCTTTCAATCTCATTCTTCAAATGTCTATAGTTCTCCGTGGTATGGCCGTAATCTCAGTGAAAACGACAGTAGATATCCGACCTGGGCCTAACCGGGCCGATAAATCTCGTCTTCGGCCACGTCACATCCTCGCTTGACATCTTCTGCTCCATAGCCTCGAGCACTTCTGTCAAGTCCTTCCTCAGAGGAGTAAAAGTATGGTACCTCTATTTTTCGCACGACAAGGGCCTCCCCTGCCACCTGTCATCCCTTCTCGCCAGCTTTGAATCTCGACCTTCTTTCCTGGGCGATGTTCTTTTCGACCCACCCCTTTTGGGCGAACTTCTCCTCGGCGACCTTCCCCTTGGTGGGATTTTCTCCTTCTTTGTCTCTGGTCGAGCCGCCCCCTCTATCTTTGCAAACTCCATTTCCATCTCCTCCAGATTAATGTATTTTCTGCATCGCTTCAGAACGTCCTCATATGATCGAGCAGGGGTCTTTGCCAGGGAGGTTCGACAAGGCTCCGCTCGAAGACTCCTTATCAATCCTCCTGCTTTCACCTCATCCAACGCCGAGTGTACCTCCAAACATGTTTGATTATATCGAGCCACATACTTCTTCAACGACTCCTTCTCTCCTTGCCTCATCGCCATCAGCGTCAAATATGTCTTCTCCTTCGCCACCGCGCTCGAATATTGGTTGGTAAGCTTACTGGCAAAATCCTCAAAGTCTGCGATCGACCCCGGGGGTAATTGATGAAACCAGTCAAGTGCTCCCCCATGCAAGGTCGATAGAAA